CACGTTTTTCTATTACATTGAAGACCACATGCAAAAATTCAGCTAATTTGGAGCAAAAAACAGAAAAGCCACCAAAATCGTCACTTATCCCCTTTTATGACTAGCTTCTTCACTTCTGCATACCAAATATTGTTGAATCAGTGGGTTGCCATAAGCTTATTTATGCCATGATACCAAGTAGCATACCATTGTTTATGCCATGATACCAAGTGGCATACCATTGTCTTCTTATTAATGTGCTTAGCAACAATGTTGGAGACGTTGAATGAGAGATCAAGGATGAGGTCTACGTAATGGACCACCATAATTATGTTCTTTAAGGTCATTTGTTGGCAAGTGTAACCAGTAGTAATGAGTAATTTTTTTTACATATATTTCCCTTTTTAGTATGGTAGCAGCAAAGGAGGTGGAGACAGTGAAGGTTGGGGTGGAGAGTGGAACAGTGAAGATGCTAATAGCCAAGTTAATGGGACTGCTGCGTGGTCTTCGGGAGGCACTGAGGAGGAAGCGTGGTGATGGTGATGGTGATGGTGATGGTGATGATGATGCCGTCCGTAATCTTTAAGTGCAAGTTTATCCGGCTAAAAAACTTTGGGATAGTTGTACGTTTCTTTTCCGATTCAAGTTGTTGTTTGGCATGGATATGAATTTTTACAACGTTAAAGTTGCCCCTGTTGCATAGAGATTATTCAAGTTATCGAGATTTATTGGATTACGTACATTACATGTACCTTTTGTTGACCTGTTCGATGCTGGGTTGGAGTTGATTCTGCAAGCACAGAGTGCAGAGATTTACTTTGTGAACTTGTAGCATTAATTATACTGGAGGATGGATGTGACAAAATACCAGGAGGTTACTTGCCAACACACCAAGCACAATGTGAACAACTATCATTGAGAGCACATGAAGAACATGAAGTAAACAGAAGTAAACAGTGTTTATACACCCAGTGGAGTGTAGCCTGCTCTGCATTAAATTGTGATACAAGTATATAAACTAAAGAACACTTGATATCACATTGGCCAAGAGCATCACTCTATCAGCTGCAAAAAAAATTTGTTGTGTCTTGCATTGATTCCATGATTTGGAGTCATTGAGGTCCAAACCAGCCTAGACTTGCCATCAGTTTGAAGCTTGAAGGCAGTGTAGTCTGGTAATGAGCATTTTATGGCTTGTGCAGCTGTGNGAGAAAAGCAATTCATGGGTTCCTATGTCGAGTATGAGTATGGTGCTCCAATTGGTGGGTTCAAGCCACCGGAGCAAGCTCTGCTATAATTCTTGCTCTAAACAAAGTCTTTTTTGCCATCCTGTTGTTACTATTGTAGCATTCTGATATTTTGCTACTTTTCACCTTAAATTTAGCAATGGAAGAACTCTGTACTAAACAAGATGATATTTTAACAACAAAAGATGCAAAAATAAAGGAATTGAAACTTCGCCTGCTGCGCCAGAAGCAATTTCACCAACAACAACTGTCTGACTTGGACATTCATCGGCAGCAAGAACAATATATCAATTATACAACACAGAAATCTCAAGAGAACAATAAAAAGACTCGTCAGAAACGTGTTTCCTTCAGATGACCCATGCCTACATCTAGACATTTATACACCAGTCATCTTTATATTTAAATTAAATGAATCATTTTAATTATTAATTATTAATTTATAACAATCTTTGTTACTCAATGAAGAAGGTTTTTCACCAGGATGGTTTTTTACCAGGATGGAAATCCCAGAGAAATGGTCGGAGTAGTGCTGAAGAATAAAATTAATGTGTTGAGGAGATGCTAAGGATTTTATTGGGTCAGTATGTTTAGAGAAGCTATGGTATGTCACATGGTTATAAGGTAATTTTGAAGGAATGCATCTTGAACAGTGAGGCTTTTTTGGGGAGGGGGTAGGGGGTAGGGGTTACTAGGGTGGTTTGGAAATCAAAAAATTGTAACAATCATCCATACTTCCACACTGCCCTGATCCTGTGAGTATCTCCCAGGGATGTCAATTGTATGTTTACTTGGGGTGACTATGACCCAAAAGGTTTGTCATGTCTGGCTAACAGCCATATCATTTAATTGAAACCTGTCAAGGTATATGAATGTACAGCACTGTGGAACCTCGATTTAACGAAGTCGTTGGGGACCGGCCAAATTTGTTTGTTAAATCAAGGGTTCGTTATATCGAAAACCTCAATATAACAAATTTGAGGGGAAACAACCAACAATGTTCGTTATATCAAGGTCATAGTTAATGATTGATTTGTAACACAGGTGACTTCTGTCATGCAATTCAATGCAATTTACGTCACCCAGAAGTACCCCAGATGCAACTCATTAACCATGGTGGCTTTCAGTATCAATTATTTTCACTTTTGAGTAGACGTGCAGCTTTTGTTTACAAAAGAACGACACTTTCAGAGTAGCAATTTAAAAATGTTCCAGTGTAGAGGTTATACAGAAAATTGTCTATGTAAACAAGGAAACAGGCTTTAGTGTTGTTATGTAGCACTACCCAACATTTCCGGATTTCAAAGAAGATAGAGCAGAAGTTAATTGATGTCGAAATTCTATAGTGCCAATGTCTATGACATATAATAAGCTGTTCACTGAAAGGTTGCTGTCTCTTTACCATAAGGATTACAAGGATTTGTTGACTGTTGATCTGTTCAGCGTTCATCTTCTGTCGCATGTTGACACTGTAATTCTTTATATCAAGGTAGATTTTACGCTTGGACTTCCGGATTATGTTCGTTATATGAAAGAATTTGTTATATTGAGGTTCTATTCCATACATTTTACTGTAACTTTGGCCAGGACATAGAATATCATTTGTTATACCGAGGACTTTGTTAAATAGAGGTTTGTTAAATTGAGGTTCCACTGTATCTGGTTTTGGTCTCTACCGAGCTAAAGGTTTGGACTGATAAACTGAGATTATTTGTATGTCTTATAAATTGATGAAAGCTCATGCTATTTTAACAAATAGAAGATTTCACTTTTTTTTTTTACCTTGAGTGACTCAACATTGCAGCACTACTGACTAGAAAATTTATAAGTGCTTTTATAGATACTTATCACCTGCTGAATGTACCCATTTGTCTACAATAGATTGACTTAAACAATATATTTTGCAATGTATCAATATTATTGGTATTGTGTAAAGAAAGAAAACAATAAAATTACTTTTGGTATAAGTAAGAGTGTGCATATTAGTTATTGAAAAAATGTTAGGAAACTTTAGTATAAACGCGTGCAAGTGTGTAAATTGTACAAAATAAGCTTTATTTATGTAAAAAAATAAATATTTTGTGTCACATTATTTAGAACAACGTAGCTTATGCTTTCAGTTTGTTAGGTTGATTTCCAGCAGTTTGCATGTAATGTCACTGGAAATGGAAGCAAATGTTTGACTGGAGAAACCAAATTGGGACTTCCGCAAATGTGTTTTTACCTTTTACAGTTCTGGATATTCAAAAGCTATTTTTAAAGTCTTAAAGAAGTAAATAAGTGAAAAGTTTTATTTATACTTAGTCTACTGTAAGCAGCTGCTCCTACATTTAAATTTGTTGAAATATGCTTTTCACTCTGTAGCCTGTCGCAGACGCTACCTTACAACGAAATTTCCTTCTACAATGCAGCCTACTCTGCAGAGACTATTAGTTTTCACTAACAAATTTAGTGAATATGTTAGTCAGAGTGGTGTTCACTTGAATGCCAAAGTAATTCCTATTTGCTTTGGTTTTAGTAGGCTCGATTACCAGCCACTGTTTGGGAAAGGAGCCCGCGCTCCTCCCCCAAAATCGAGCCTATGGTTTTAGGCAATTGGCTTAAAAGAATAATTGTGCGACCGTCATCCATTCAGAAGTAAAACCAATCTTGACTAGCTCACTTGCATTTTCCTGTGCGGTCAGCTACCTGTATTTGCTTTGAATTTTGAAGGTTCAGTGGATTTTCTGTGTTCTTTGTCATTGGCTAGAGAAATTCGTTTGGTTTTAGTATTAGAACACTCCATTAAAAACTGCTCCATTGAAGACATTTGCTCCCTGTACAACCCTTGCTATGCTGTCAATCTCTCCCTTTTATAAATTAATTTTCCATACCTTTGGGATTCTTTGCAAAGGAAAGAAACTTTTAATAAAACTGTTACAAATCTAGCAGCGATGGGGGAGATTTGGGAGATGAAAATGGAATCAAAATGGGGCATTCAAGTAAAAAAGACACTCAGTGGACAGTTACAATTTGAGGACAACAAGTCTCCTGTTTTGAAGACTGAGCAGTCTCTCAGAATGAAGAATGCGAAATACTGAACAAATGAGCAGAAGTGCTGTGTTCTTCCCTGCAGACTTTGGAGCAAAAGAGAGACTGGTTATATTCCACCTGTTTTACTTTGAATGGTGACTTGATATAGACATGGGCAACAAGAAATTGCTGGGTTTTCTACACCAAGAAATAAGCTGTACTCAGTTTTAATCCTCGTCTTTTCATTGTAAGGCAAAAGAAACATTTTTAGTGTTTATGTCCATGCAATATTAAGCTCTGTCACAGTTCACTAGTTAATTACACTTAACGAACCAAAAAAAGAAACTTACCCAGAGACACTTAAATCTTATTATAACTAAAAGCATTTAAAATTTCTCTTTTTTACAAATATTGTAAATAAAACTTACAATAAATAAGTTGCTAACAGCACTATTTATGCTGTTTAATGTAGTAATAAAGATATACTCTGGGTGAATCAATTCAAGCCTCTAACATTGTTAATAGAAGGCAATGTGATTTCTTGTTGACTTTTTTTTGGATTTTTATTTATATCCACATAAGGTCAATGCCATTTCGGGATGATCTTTGTTTACAGTATTTGCACTGCAAGCATCCACCCCAAGTCCACCCCAATCAGTCCCTTATCATGGTACAAAAAAATAATTGCAAGAGATACAATATTTGGGCAACATTAAGAAAGCCCAGTTGGTAGATTGCAGGACTACATGGCTTGCAAAAAGTGCCATCCGGCCCTCTGCAACAAGTGAATTTTATTGTGGGGCAAGTAACTTTTCTTTATCACATGTCCGATTGGCAAGGGCTCACTGTAATGTTTCCCAGTTAAGTCAAAAAGGAAAGCAAAAACAAGCATGCATTGCCCTGGGCGAGCAAAATTTGAGAGCTACTTGTCCAAAGGGAAAGCTGCAATTCAAACATTTTTTGAGCCCCGCTACACTAACAGTACATGAATTTATCTACTAGCCTTGGGTTGCTGGTTCAAATCCGGTCAAAGAACGTTTCCTTTTTTGACAACAATGGTTTTCCAGTGAATTTTTCAGCGACAAGTAGCTGTGGATTAATCATTTGGAGATTTATACTTCTGAGCCATATGAATACAATATAGCTTAAGTTAGGGAAGGATATCTGCAATATGCCTGCAGTTAGTTACATTCAAATATGCTAATCAAGTTTGAGATCAGAAGTGTAATGATAACCAATGATTTTGTACACAGACGTTTAAAGTCAAAATGACAGGAGCCATGCTGAATAAGTTGAAAATCAACTAAGGATTAACAAATTACTATTGGTTTTCAAATCTTGAGGAAGACAAAAGATCAACAGGTTGCTAATCTATCCCTCACTTTCCATTGACAGCACAGTCTTGAAAGTCTCAAATTGCAGTTATGTTGTAACTTATTAACTAGAAATTCCTAATTACTTAAAGAAAACAAAAAAAAATCAATCTGATTCTCCATTTTCATGTGCCCTCTTCCCTGCCAGCAATAAATTTAATAAGGAACTAAATGACACAAAACTTCAAATTGTAAATTCATTACAGCTATTTTGTTTGGGCAGCCACCCCCAAATCAATAATACCGGTAAATCAGAAAAACTGTTAAGGTCTAGGTAGTGGCATTCACATATCAACAGGAAATGACAAATAGCGCATTTTATCTTTTACCTATTTTAAGTAATTGAAGTTTATTTTATATGTGTGACAATGTAATGTTAGTCAACCTAAGACCACCTTGTTGAGTTCAATAATTCCCTGAATATGTCAATGCGACAAACATTTTAACAACTGATAGCCTGTTTCATTCAGCCTGTAGCACAACAACTAAAATGATCTTAAATTACCTAAGCTACCAAAGGGAAACCACCTCCAAGTGGATCTTATTCTTGAACTCAGTGTAAGCTTCTTCCAGATCATCATTAATAATCACACTATGGAAATTGCCAGGCTGCTCAGCATACGCAAGTTCCTTCTTTGCAGTATCTAGTCGCCTAGATATTGATCCTTCTGTTTCTGTACCTCGAACACGTAGGCGTCTTTCCAGCTCATTTAATGAAGGTGTCTTCACAAAAATGTAATAACAGTCCATGCCAGTTTTCTTCAAACTGATAACTCCCTGCATATCGATGTCGAGCAAACAGACTTTGCCTGCGTCCAGGACATCTTGCACAGCCTTTTTACTAGTTCCATATAGATTCTGATTGTAAACTGCTGACTCGATAAATTCGCCACGATCAATGCTCTGCTGCATTACATCACGGCTGGTAAAGTAATACTCTTTTCCATCTGTTTCTCCTGGCCGCGGACTTCGCGTGGTGTGTGACACTGAGAAGCCAAACTTTTCAGGAAAATCCTTCATAAGACGATTCTTCAGTGTACTCTTGCCACAGCCACTTGGGCCAAACAACACTACTGGTCTGGCTCTCAACATTGACATGACAAATCCTACGATGGAAGAAACGCAAAGGAAACCCGCCAGTTAGGGGTGTTTAGACGCGTGTCCTATCGTGTCCAACAGATCGTGTAGACGTGGCCAATGGTCGCCCGGTTCGTGCCGAATAACCTTGGTCACGAAAATGAGAGAGGCGCGCATGGGGTGATGGATAAGGAATAGACCAGAGTTCCCTGCGCGCCTATTTACTGAAGTTCTCCTCCTCTCCAGCCCCTTCTTACTTTGACTGGTAAAGGACGTAGAGGTTTCGTGTGACGCTGCATAAAGACGTGTTGCTTGCGATCCATCGTGCGGGATGGTGTGTCGCCAGGTGTGGGGTAAGGGGAGTGCTAAGCCTACCTGCCTCTGTATGGGTGAAGAAGATAAAAGCAGAAACCGACACAACGTAGGATGATTTTATTTAAAGTGTACTATATATTACTTTGGCTGGCCAAACCAGCCTTCTTCAGGTACAATGAGAAGACGTGTCAAACTATCAACTTTTTGACTAATGAGATTTTATGGACTTTTTTAAGTAGCCAATCAAAATGCGAAAAAAGCTATTGACAAGGCTCACGTCATTGTGAATAAAATTCACTTATCTTTGTTTACGGCAAGTTTACGGCGTCTTTCCCCCTCATTTATTCCCGGCATTTGACCATTTTGCGGCTCTTGGTTCCACAGCCACTTTGACAATGTTATGACGCAATTTATCATCAATTAGAGGACAGACGCATAAAAAACTGACGTCAATTTGTTAATTATTCTAATACTGAAAGAGTTACAAAGTACGCTGACATACATGTACAAGCAACGCACCATATTTTATACAGTGCACCCTGTTTAACGACGACCCCATACGATAAAGAATTATTATTACAGCATGCTTAGTGGCCCAAAGAAAACTCTTTTTTAAATCGGCTCGTATTTCCCCAACACTTCTTTCGACCCCTTCTCGTGCTTTCACCACTCCCTTGAGCGCTTTATGACAGAACAAAGCACGATCAAGCCTTTTTTATTTGTTTATTTAGGTATGACGTGAAATACGGAAGACTGCACTTTCCGCGTTCTAGCGGAAGTTGCATTCACTGCCGTCGCTTGCCTATCTTGACGTTCACGTTACAGCAACGTCGAAGTGGATATGACCTAGGACTAGAAAAGTTTCGGGGTATACAGTTGTCACATCTATTTAAAAAAAAAAGACTCGACGATAGTTATTTAAATTGCGTCAGTTTTTCATGCGTTTGTCCTGTTATTGACAATGAATTTCGTCATAACATTGTCAAAGTAGTCTGTGATCCACTCCGACTCGGCTTCCACAGCAACCTGATAATGTTGGATCCACAGCTACTTTGATAATATTATGACGAAATTCACGATCAATAACAGGACAGATGCATAAAAAAAAAAAAAACTGACGTCACCTGATAAATGGTATTGTTGACCGGAAATAGGATTTGGGCCGGAACTTGTTCTTGTTGTGAGAGGGTAACAGCGCATGACTACGAAACAAAACGCTGACTTACAATGACGTCGAACAATGACGTGCTGTCTGGTTGTGCCAAAATGGCGCTGGGATGAAATTACCACTTCCTTCGAAGAAATGAAGAATTAAGCTTACTGTTATGGCAGAGGTGGAGCTTCCCATTGTCTATCTGTCCTTGCTATAGCTGTTTTTGGGAGCCATAGAGAGAACTACTTAATCCTAGATAAAGTTATGAACAAGCCTGTGACTCGAGTAAGTGAGATTACTGCTGCTGTTGTTGTGATGTTGCCAGTTCTACAATTTCTTTGTTAAGTATTCAAATAAGTCTTATTTTAATCTTTAGCCAATATTTTTCTTCATACATATTAAGACAACGGTATATATAATATATATAGGAGGTGTGCTTGTTAAATTGTAACACGAATTTTTGCCTTCCTTTTGACAACTGATGTTCTCTGTCATACAACTTTACTGAACTTTAACATGTTTTATTTTTAACATTTCATGTTTTTTTGTTGTTGTTTGGTTTCTATTTATTACAACGTTATTTCTAACCAAGTTAATATATTTAAAAGACACAATTGCCTCCCCTGAAATAATAGGTATGCTGTGCTTCTTTGGCTAGTATGAAGTGCTGTTAAATTGTAACACGAATTATTAAAGTTAAATTGTAACACGAATTAAAATACTAACTACCGTACCTGTTAGAAAGCAATGATTTAGGGGGTATTTTTGGCATGATGCAGATGTGAAGCAATGGACCTAAGTGGTTTTCACTTGAATGTCAAAAAGTAATTGGTTTCACATTTACTACACTACACAATGGCTTCAAAGACTCTCCCATTTTCAATCAAATCAGAAGTAAAGCCAAAACCAATCACGACTAACTCATGCATCTTTTCCTCCGCATCACATGTGCTACATGTATTTACTTTGAGTTTTGATTGGTTCATTGAATTGTCTGTGTCCTTTGTGATTGTCCAGTGTGATTGTCACTCAGTTGAAAACCACTCTTGCTATTAGAGTGCTATGAATTCTGTTTCATGGCGTACATTCATAGTCACGATTTATAAGACCTAAGAGTGTTATTAACACATTTCCATGTGTAGAAGTGATTTGTTATCCAGCTTACTGACACTGTGACCAGTTTTAGTCAATAAACAGAGCAGCCATATTTGTTAAAAGATGTTCTGTGATAATATTGCTTATGGTTAAATTTACTATAACAAGCGTACATCCCAAAGCTGAAAACAATAGTCAGACCCTGAACGTTGTCAGACTTATCTTTGCAAGTATATTGATTTTGAAAAGTGTTTTGTCATTGTCTTGTCTGTCCCAAAGAAATATGAAACTTGTTATCAAGCACAAAATAATTCATGTGCCTAGGCAAACAAAGTGATCATAAGTTACAAGACATAATTCCATTTTCCACCGTTTAATTCAGGCTCAGCCGATTTCTAAACACTTACTACAGTAAGACCCAAGTATTATTGAAAAAAAGAAAGAAAATGCTTTCCAGTAGTGTAAAGATTTTAAGGAAAACGACCACTTTTTTCACGTTCTGTTGTTACTATTTGTCTTAATTAGCATTTTTGCCTACTTATTATTCAACTTGCTTTGTAATCATTCATTCAACTGAAGATGACAGANCAGAAGTTCTGTCGAAACATGTCTTTTAAACTTAAAAAAGTGGTCGTTTTCCTTAAAATCTTTACATGTCTGCTGCTATCTAGACCTTTTCCAGTAGTAATTATAAACAATGCTAAAGAGGTTAGGACTTAAAGGAGAAGTGAGGCTAAAGTTGACTTCGAGAACTTAATTTATACAAACGTGACTACTTTTTAACCTGAAATTATCCTGCCATAATGTAAACTAGTTTTAAATTTCTATCATTACAAAGTCAACCTAAAGTTTGCCTTCATGTGGAGGCCAGTTACATTTCAAAATAGTCTATTAATTAATGGCTATTATTAATAATTTAAATAATTTATTGTTAATTATTGTATTTAGGGAAGCAAACGGAAGAAGGAAGCAAATACAGCTCCTCCTTTGGATGAGCCATCTGCTTCATTGTTACTGCTTGAGCGAGGTGAAGAGTTATTTTTGCCAAGCAGTGCACCGGAAGAAGTGACTTCTCCTCAGGTGAGAACAACTGTAAATGATAATTTGAGGACCCATGGACAGTTAGGGACTGGTTCCTTGTTGGTTGTTCCTGTATGTATTAGCTTCATAACAATGTGTAAATATGTTTTTAGAAGGCTTAAAGCTACTAAAATTTTAAAGACCAGAACATTTTCGACCATATGGTCATCATCAGTGGTATATGATGTAAATTTACATACAACTTGGTTCTGTTCAATTAAGTTAATCCCGAGGGGAACAGTTTCACAATGAAAAAATTGTTCCCCTCGGGAATAACTTAATCGAACAAAAGCAAGTTGTATGTAAATTTCCATCATGTACCACTGATGACGATGATCGTATGGTCGAAACGTTTTGGTTTTTAAAATTCCAGTAACTTTTAGCCTTTTATAAACTCCTAAAAAGCAATTATTATGACAATGTGTAATATGTTCATGTAATGTTCTCACCCTCTATGGGTGAAACTCTCTTTTTTCTGTTTCAAGTGTCTGTAGGTTTAGAAGTGTCAGCTAATGTAGTCATCATACAAGATCTTTGAATTTGCAATTTGGTCTAAGATGGAGTGTAGAGTACAGAATGATAAATATATCAGAAAAGAGTTGAGTGTGTTTTTTGCTGCGTAATACCCCAACCACCCTTGTGTGAGGTGTACTGCCATGCTCTTGGCCTTATAGAGATTAGTCTAGATAGCATAATATCCTAGTGTGGTTTTCATCTAAAATATGATGAACTGATGAAGTTTACACAAACAGGATAGAACAATGATTGATGTTTTTTCCTTTTGATGAGGGTGCAAACATGAAATTAAAACACTGTAAGTGTTAACTGACATGGTGGCTGTAGACCTGTATGAAACATGAAAGTTTTGTTCTGAAGAGTGAGAATTAGACTGAAAAATTGACCTAAAAACTTATTTTAGTATGCTTGTGTTCTCAAAAAGTCAGCAAAAGTAAGAGCAGTTGATTGATTACTGGACTGAATGTGAATTGGTTTGAACAGGTTTACAGTATTTACCTTTCTTTTGGATAGGAGGAACATCTTTCACCAGAAATTAAGAGACGCAGAATAGATGACGAGACTGTGGAAGAGACCGTTGCAGGGAACACTGTTGATAGTGGGCCAGCTGCTCTAGAGACACACACTACAGAAAGTAGAACAGACAGTGAACCAACAACTGTAGAGTCACCTACAATATCACGCTCTCAAGAAGATGTGATGATTGTTGGTGATGTTCAAGTTGCAAGGCCAGAAGTAATAGATCTGGAAAAACTTCCAACCATTAGACAAGGTACAGTACATTCAAGCTGCCTGATTAGTGCAAGTTACAAACTAAGCCCTCTTTATGCCACATAGTTCATAAGCTCCTTCACCCTGGGCTTGTCACCTTGTTGGGATGGTGAAGTGTTTGTACCTTAGTGATCCTAAGAACCACGCTGGTTGGAACCTTAACCCCTAGTAGGTGCAACCATGGCAGATTAGGTAAGGAGAGGCCTGACAAAGAAAAACCCCTGCCTTTCAAGATGGGAGTACATGTGGGGCCAATCACCCCACCCTGTAGAAACCTCTGCCATTACAGGAACTCCTCATTTAGTCACTTGTATGTCACTTTACCTTAAATAGGAAGTTTTGAATGCTATTTATTAGGCAAAGTAGTTTTTTGGGAGTTGGGGACAGGAAATCTTTCTTCTTAAATTTCTTCCAAAACTTTGTATACTGGTTGCAATAACAATGATGTTAGCTGTTATCTCTGTACTTATTTTTAGGTGGTTCTGTTGTTGTAGACTTGACTAATGATTCAGGTTTCCATGACAGCAATGTGGTGGATTTAACAAGTGAAAGCCCAGCAGATTCCTCAATCGATTCCAGCCCTGTTATTGTGGTATGACTTTTAAGGTTATCAAAATGAAATCTCTCATTATACATAAATTTTTCTGCGGTCAAGTTCACTGTAAAATATTGGTTTGGTCAGTCAGTCAGTGGCCAGTACCATAATCTCTTGTCCCCAGAGCTGTCTCTCTCTTAGCTGGCAGGGCCAGAAGATGGCTCCAGAGACACATGATTTTCACTAACTAAACGCTGGTTTCCTTTCTGAAAGTATCACTGGTTGATTTCTGACTAAAACCATTTGATCAAAACACCTAAAAGGCTACAAAGCTAATTACAGGGGGAATTTTTAATGAAATCTTCCATAATGAAACATATGAATGTTTCTTCTACTTAATTAAAATTACCTTTGTTAAAATCTGTTAAGGTCTGTAGGCACTGTGATCAGAAATTTTTGGCCAGAGATCAACTACTTGATAGGTTTGGGAAGAAACTGGCATTAATTTGGTGAAAATCTTCACTCAAGAATCTAGCCAATCAGATCACATCCTTTCCCAAGGCCCTGTCAGCAAAGTAGGATAGGCAGTTTTGGGGACAAGAATGTGGTCAGTACATCAAGAATGGAATCCTTCTTCATCTGGAGTATCAAATGAGACAGAGATTTCCCTCTCATTGAGGAGAGATGATCAGGAAACCTCAGCACAGTTTATTATACTGGTTTATGATTGGTTCACCAGATGCAAATGTTGAAATTTGGGTTTTTATTGTTTTGGTCCATAGTTTTGCACATGTGCAGTAGTACATGGGTCATAGCCCACCAATTTGTAAATGATTTTGATAGATAGGCAACTCCTCACTTTTTATGTGAACCTTACAAAAACTGGCCTGGCAAGGTGGCATTAAGTTTAGCCTGTTGAAACACCCCTAATCACTTTTAATTAGCTTACTGATAGTAGAGATAAGCTCCAGGCTGTTAGGTTAGTAACCTCAAGCATAGACTTAATTTCAGTTAACAAGTCAACATCCACTCAGTAAAATGTTAACTTGTTTGCTTGTTTGTTTGTTTGTTTGTTTGTTTGTTTGTTTGCTTTTTTACAAATTAAGCCAATATTGTCATTGGCCATTTAAAATTGAGCATTATGTATCCTTGTCTTTCAGTGTGTGAATAGAATATACCGTGGAGATCCTATTAGCCAGTTGTCATCTTGTCGTTTTGCACAACCTAGTGTGTTGAACAGACCATTATTCAATGCTGATGATGAAATACAAGAGGTAGTTGATAGTAATACAACAAGTGAACAGAACACTGGTGTAGTTGTAGCTTCAACATCTAACAGTGATGATCCAGCTGCTACAACAACTGAAAAGAAGATAAGCTGTCCTATATGTTTGGATGACGAAAAAACTGTGAGTAAAATTTTAACCCTCATCAGGCCTAGACTATATACTGTATTAAACAAGCTCAGTCACAGTGTTTTGTTTTTTTTTTGGCCACGTACAAAATCTCCTTTAAATGGAAGGAAACCTGAAAATAATAGTTTACTAAGATAGAAAAACATCAAAGAGATAATAATAAACCATAAAGGAACAAGGATGGTCAAGGATGGCGAAGATTGACACGGATTGCAAACGACAAATTTGAAAAATTTAGGCTAAACTTTTCAAAATGTGCAAACTGTGACTGAGCTCCTTTAAGTTAAATATCTTTGTTTATTGTCATACAATATGTTTGAACATTTGAGAAGAGAAATATTTGGCTCCAGGTTATTAAGAACCTAAGATGGCAGTCCAGGGGTTTCATTAATGACAAAACTTTTTGAACTGAACTTCTTTATAACAAAAACTTTCAATCCATCAGATGGTCAAACCAGGTGGACAAAAACATCCTCACAGCTGGTCAATTTGCCCAGTGCCTGGCCCTTAATGAAACCCCTGGGCAGTATTAGTATGAGATTCAGTGCAACGACTTTGAATTTCAATCCAGTTACATTTTGTAGAGCTCTCAATTCTCTTCCTGTTACTCACCAGTTGAATAGAACACCATAGGAATGAGATGGGTGTGAAATGTGATAATTAAGTGAAAAGTCATACTTGTGCTCAATCTTATACGCGAGTCCCAATCTGTAGGCCCCTACTGCACACAAACTCAGTGCCTCGAAGTCTGTTCAAATTACCAAAAGTGAAATATTTTTTTGTCTGGTCTAGCCAAAGTCATGTGACCAAGTGAAAGAGGCAAACTGGACTTAAGTTAAGTAATATAAAACTTTATTTTTCAGATAAAGAGAAGAAAAAGGAAGTTAATGTCAACAACTTGTGGACACGTGTTTTGTGACCAGTGTATAAGAAGTGCAGTTCAGATGCAAAACAAATGCCCAACATGTAGAAAGAAACTTTCTTTGAGACAACTACACCCAATTTTCCTTTAATGACAATTAATTATTATTGACCCAACACTGCAGTGGCCTCCTAGCCAGACTTTCTTGCACTTGTCACTTGCTTCTTCCTCAATAAGCATGTGTGTAAGTGGCTACAATTTCAAGGATATATTTTGATAAATTATCCTCTTGAACAGAAAGCTCACAAAATTTTGTAATTGTTTTGTCATCAGTTGCTCTTGTCATCTGCCAATGATGCCAATATGAGACCATTAATTAAAAGGCTAGCTATTGCTGGCTGGAGAAAATGCATAAAAGTGCTTAACGTTTTCATAAGCTGATGTAAAATTAAAGGTAGTTATCAATGGACAGCCACGAAAGGCTACCTCACTTAAGGGGTAGCTTATGTGAGTGATAGTTGAGTTATACGTAACTGATAATTTAACAAAACTTGAATAAAACACGCTGTAATTACTGACCAGTAAGGCATGTACAAGGAGTTGAGAGAAAACCAAAGGAGCAAACTTTGCCTGAGTTTCTCATTATAAAATTCTGAGGTCGGAGGAACGCAATTCTTTGGTAGAGAAGGCTGTTTATTGTTGAAATTTGCACACTCAGGTGTTTTCCAACAACGTATGTTAAATCAAACAGTGTTGCAGTTGGTGTAATAGATTTGATTAATTTCAAGTCATTAACGTTGGTTCAAAGGGGCATCGATAAAACAGTTCCAAGTCTTTGAGGTAAAATTTAATCACCCTTAGGCCGCTCTGCAATCGGCGTGACAGACGAACTTCCATTGCGTGACCAATAGTAAGCTATGACTACGTAAACAGCGTCACGCTCCATTAACTGCGCTTTAACGATTGACTTTAAAGCTTTATTTATCAATTTTAGGTTATGAGCTCGAG